CATCTTTGGTAACCATAGTATATGTACTTTTTGACGGGACAATCAATTCTTTCGTATCAAGCTGAATCTCGGTGCTTCTAAATATAATTGGGTAGTGAACCTTGCATTATTTTCTTACAAAACTTGTGAAAATTGTTAGAATTTGACGCTTGTTGAATTCTTATTGCCTCTATGATGATTTTGTGTGATTGTTTTAATGATGCTTCACTTCCTTGAAGGTCCAGTTCGGATTGAAAACAGGTTTCGCATGTATTGCTTCGTTTCTGTTCTCTGTTCTGTAAAAAATTAGTAAGAGTTTAGTACTTGGTATTTATCACAAATGATTAAAGTCTATATTGGAAACTGAAGAGTTTGCTTTGTTTGGTACTGTTCTTTCATGGTTTCGTCCTTATACTTCAGTGTTATATGCGGCTTCTTCCTGTTAAATGTTGAACTTTTGTTCTCGTTTATACCAGGCAGATGTCATCTGGATTCGATACAGCGCTGAATATCGGAGGTAGCTCACAGGAATCGCAAGGCTTCAGCTTGCGAATGTTTAGGTTAGATATGCTAGATCGATGGAAACTCAACAACATAAGCTTTTTTGTTTTTAGCAAGCCTACGATAGTCCTTGCGCATGTAGCTTTCAAGGGGGCAGCATTAGCTTATTACTTCCTCGCCAACTGGCTGTCGTCCTCTTTCATCGTGCAGTTTCTAATTATTGTAAGTGTTCTTTTAATTTGATCCTATCTATTCTTTGTATAATATAGTTCTTATTGAGTTGACTTTGCTTTCTATGGATTTTTGGACAGTAAAAAATATCACTGGAAGACTACTCGTTGGTCTGCGATGGTGGAATTTCGTCGATGAAAATGGAAACAACCACTGGAAATTTGAGAGCGCTAAGGTATGTTTTGCTTATAATTTGAATGAATTAGAGTTTCATCTATTAAGATGAAATGGTGAACAATGTATATTTCAGGACCTATCTCGGTTCCCTGTTTTGGATCGACGTGCTTTCTGGATTGGTTTGGTATTAGGTCCCCTTATGTGGATGTTCTTTGTTAGCATGGCATTCTTTACATTCAAGGTGCATCATACTTTCACAA